GAGGCTGCATGTGGATGAAGCAGCATGTGATTTCTGGTAGAGGCTGCATGTAGAGGCTACAGGTGGAGAAAGCAGCTTGTTATGTTTGGTAGAGGCTGCAAGTAAAGGAAGCAGCTTATGTCTGGTCTCTGCTGCAAGTGGAGAAAGCAGATTGTTATGTATGGTAGAGGCTGCAGGTGGATAAAGCAGCCTGTTATGTCTGGTAGAGGTTGCAGTTAGATGAAGCAGCCTGTTATGTCTGGTAGAGGCTGCAGGTGGAGGAAGCAGCTTCTTATGTCTGGTAGAGGCTGCAGGTGGAGGAAGCAGCGTGTTATGTCTGGTAGAGGCTGCAGGTGGAGAGAGCAGATTGTTATGTCTGGTAGAGGCTGCAGGTGGAGTAAACAGCTTCGTATGTCTGGTAGAGGCTGCAGGTGGAGTAAACAGCTTCGTATGTCTGGTAGAGGCTGCAGGTGGAGAAAGCTTCTTGTTATGTCTGGTAGAGGCTGCATGTGGATGAAGCAGCCTGTTACGTCTGGTTGAGGCTGCAGGTGGAGAAAGCAGCTTGTTATGTCTGGTAGAGGCTGCAGCTGGAGGAAGCAGCTTGTGTCTGGTAGAGGCTGCAAGTGGAGGAAGCAGCTTGTCATGTCTGGTATAGGCTGCAGTTAAAGGTGCCTTTGGTGTTTGGCAGTGTTTCAGTTTGAGTCTTTGGTGGCAGCTGTCATCTGAAACAGACAACAGAGGCTTTAAAGTTTGAGGTAGAAGGATGTTCTTTCCATGTGCAGCATCTTGGTGGTAAAAGCTGCTGGCACATGTTGGAGGTTACAGATGTTCTTCTTTAGGATGGAGGCAGTCTGAATGTTTAGACTGGTGGTTGTTTTGGTCGAGGCAGGAGTCATAAACTGCAGGTGGAGGCAGCTGCAGGTAGATGACAGAGGCTTGAGAGCTTGAGGCTCTTGTCTTGAATTTGGAGCAGGTGGAGGCAGAGGCTGATGGTCGGGTTCAGAGGCTTGAGCTGGAGGTCAAAAGATACTTTTTCTTTTGCAGCATATAGATGGTAAAAGCTGCTGGCACATGTTGGAGGTCACAGATGTTTTTTTAAGGATGGAGGCAGGTTCGATGTTGAGACGGCTGGTTGAGGCAGGTGGAGGACGGTTCAGGTACTTAAGGTTGTTTGCAAAAAGTTTTTTATCCAGGCACTTGGTGTCGTTTGAGTTCTTTCACTAACATGTTCTAACTAACTACTACATTTAAATCTAAACTTGTACTTACCGGTAAATCTAAAATTCTATTCTTAAATCTAAATTATTTCTAATATTTACAGATCCTAACTGATCAACTAAGGTAAAGACTATCGTATCAGTTCTTTACTCTTTTTCTCAGTGGTGCTCCAGGTTCCGGTTCCCCAGATACGTCCACATCATACAGGGGAGGATTGACTCCAACCCCGTATGAGACGTTCACATGAACGAGTCCTGTCTCGTATACAGTTTCTGTGAACATCGGGCGATCCAGTCGCTCCCACAGCTTCTGCTTCATAAGAAGTCCAAGAGTTTTGCTGTAAGGTCGAAGACGGCCGTTCTTGTACCGCAGCATGTCGTCTACCACAGAGTGATAGAGCGACTGGTACTGTGGCACTGAAAGCTGGTGGATCATAGGTGGGCCGTCTTCGAACAGAGGAGCGATGGAGGGCTGGGGACCGGGGAGCACAGAGGAGACCGTTGGTAGCTGGTCAGCTGGAATTGTGGCCCGGGGCCTGAGGACCAGAGCAGGAGAGTCAGCATCGTTGGCAGGGTGCTGTTCAGCAGCAGGAGCTGCGTGGTGGTGGTTTGAGTCCTGAAAGAACACCAACAAACAAAAACATGTCAGGCTCCAGTTGAGTTCACAGAGGCATACTTTTACAATCTCAGGAGGAAATTTAAACTGCATGCAGAAGCTATTTGGTTTCAGGTAGATTTAAGTGTTAGGATTTCTGTCAGACGTTCAGGTGACTTAATTTCTGCATATTTTGATAAATATGAATTGGCCTGTTTTAGGGATGCAGTTGATCAAATGCTGATTTATATTCAGACTAGTCGACAAGTTTAAAGACAAGATAACACTCATTGAAATGTCAATATTGAGCACGTTTATGCAATACTGCTAAACAGGAGATCACTGAGCAATTTTTAATGTTAATAATTTTCTAGCAGTTGACTTTAACACTTGAGAAAGTTGGAAATTATTTTCTCAAAATATGAAAATCAAATGTCTTACCAGGTTGTTCCTGCAGCACGAACATCGAGTGAAAGCTCGAGGCTTTCTCTCGGCCAGGCGTGATGAGACTCTCACTGTCTTACAGTAGTCATGGTCCTTCAGGTGAACGGGCACAACACGCTGTAACAACACAGACACAGAACAACACTTCAGAAATACAGTCAATGCAACAACAACACTTCATGATGTCACATTAATAATGTTCTGCAAATGTTAATACAAGACTTTTTGAACTCATCTAACACATAATGTTAAAATAAATCATTCAGAATAATCACTCTTTCTATACAAAGCTACTTTCTAAACTCCGTTACAATGTGCTTTACAGCGACAACAAACTGCTGCAGATGTTGGACATCATTCAGTATTTTTAATTTTTTCTCAATTCTTCATGAAGAATGTTTTAGAGCACAAATTTATATTTTGTTTTTATAAAATAATGATTTGAAAATAGGGCCTGTGTCTTAAAGATGGCATCACTGTAATTAACTTATTTTATTTAGTAAACAGAACAGAGAAATGATCCAGTAAAGTTTTGACTGTCTGCATCATAACAGATCAGATCATTAAAACATTTAAATGTTTATTTTTCTTCAACATTTGTAAAGTTGCTCTCTTAAATCTCTGAGTCTTTAGTTCTTGTCAGAATGAAAATTAACTCAATTAATTATTTAATTTATAAATGTTTTTTTACTGTGAAACTTGTGAAATTCTTCTTGTGACTCTTTCAGGTTTTTTATGTTTAAATGATCTGATATAAATGATGCACTTTGAGGGTAACCATAGCAACCAGTGAGTATTTCGGCCATTTTGTACATATTTGTGCTTTTACAATGGACACACAAATTGATCCAGAAACATGACAAAGATTTTAAAAAGTAACCTGCACACACAAACAGACAGTCGCATAATTACTAAAACCCTCCAATGTATGAAACAATTATATTACAGTTTAAAATGAGAAAAAAACTGTAAAGACGAGTGAGTCTGCAGAGAGTGAGACTGATGAGTCTGAAACATGTCAGTACTGAGCTCCTGTTTTCACCTGATGTTTGTTATATAATCATTTTATTTCTGAACAGTAAATCCCCCAGAAGAAACTAATGAAGTGAAATGTCCACTCAATAGTATTTCTGACACTTATCTAATGACACTTATCTGTTTGGGAATTATAAACTGTAACAAATATCTATAACACACATTTTATTCATGGCTACATTTCATTCATGGCTGTGTCTGATGGGATTTTATTTTCTTTAATGAACCATTTATTGAATATGTGAAAAGATTTCAAATATTATTGAAGTATTCAAAGATTTATTTTAAATCTATTCCAATAAATGGATGAAAAGAAATCTGGTGCAGTCTAGTTCAGACAGTTTAAACTGTATAGTAAACAGCAGAGAGTCAAAAAGTGAAAATCTTACATTTTCCATGACACAAGTTGGATGTTTGGCTCGTGTCAGTTTAAGAAAATCTTTGGTCCTTCTTAGGGTGGAAAAAATCTGCAGTTTGAGCGTGATTTTCAGAGGAAATCGCTGATTTCAACTTGAGAACAACTTTCTGGGGCTGTCTGAGAGTTTGTTTGAGTTGAAATGATGATCTGATATGAATGATGCACTTTAAGGGGAACCATGGCAACCATAGAATGTTACACGACCATTTTGCACACATGAGTTTTTACAGTCTCCTCTCACCTCTAAAGTTTACTTTCTTTATAAACAATGCAGAAAGGATCAAACTTTCACACACAAATAGATCGCTCCTTGATAAAAAAACCAACTTAAATATATTGATTATTCTTCCACTCTGATTGTTTATTTGTCCTTAAAAGAAAAAAAAATAACAACACATTTGTAGTTCTTCTTGGGCTTACTTCCTACATCAAATAACATCAAAGTTCATGATAAACCTGAAACTGAATGAATGAAATGTAGTCGTCATTCTTGTCATTCTGTACAAAGTGAACATGTCCCAGTTCAATGAGTAATATTGAAGGCTGCTCTTTTTCTTTCAATATGATCTTTAACAGGCACACCCCCAATGTTCATGAAATCTATCACCAGTTTTCAAAAAAAGTTTGGAACGCTATTTCGGTCAATAATTTCGCCCCTTTAATAATAGTAATTGGTGCTAATTGTTATTATATACGGTTGGAAAGCCTTATTAGTCACCTTTACAACAAGGTATAACTTGTAAGGATCGTGCATTCATGGATCCTTCCATCCTTTGAATTATTGTTTTATTTTGTGTACATTTATGTTCTCCAGAATGTTTTATTGTATTTTGTTAGCTGTTGGTATATTGATTTAATTGAAATATCCTGAATATGTTATTTTAGCCATGGAGCCTAGCTCGCCGTGCACAGCTATTTAAGATAGTTAACGTGCACGTGCATTAAATTAGCATACATAACGTACAGCACTTTTATTTAATCTGTGTAGGATCTGGAGTGGACTGGGAAGTTGAAACAGAATTTTGTCTGTGCTTTCCTTTTGCCAGATAAAAAGTGATCATAAGAATCCACAGCATCATCAATTCACACAACACAACGCAGAAATCCAGAAGTTACATATGCACTCGATCCACCTGTCTGAGTTCTCCAGATTACACTAGACAAGAAGAGAAATTATTTCTTTCACACGGACATGCCTATATCTTTTGATCCAAAACCTGCAAGTGAAGATGTGAATTTAAAACTATTTGTTCTTGTTGGTCAAAAACCCACACATGCATAAGCTTTATACTCTACAATGTATGCTTATTCCTCAGTCAAGCTGTTGATCATATTCATGTTCATATCCTTCCAAGTCGTTATAAATCAAATCTGTGTGCTGCTCCTGACAGCTCTGCACCACCTGCAGGACTGCAGCGAGGCGGCGGTCCAGAGCAGAGAGATGTGCTTCAGACAGCAGGGGGGCCACACCAGCTAGAGGGTCCTGGGGAAGGGAGTCCCGCATGACATCGCTCAGACGGAAGCTTGTGAGGGACAAGAGGCGCAAGCGGAGGAGTGTGGAGCGACGGATCCTACAAGCATAGGTACAGAGAGTCAATATGTTGATGCAAAAAGAGCATACCCTCTTAAAAACTTGGAACAGTTTTTGAAGGTTTGATTTCTTCAGACCTTTTTTTAAGGTGCACTCAACTAGCCTTTTGAGTTCTGTTTTACCTGCAACACTGTTTCAAAGGAGCCAGAATAGATGGCTCATCCTGAGAGTGGCGCCCAAACCTGGAAGACATTATCAGTCAAAACAAAATAATATATGCTGCCTCAGTGTCCAAAACATAGAAGTGAGACATGTCAAACACTTGGTATGCTGTTGCTCCCACGATAACAGTGACAGAATGACAACATTAGTGATAGTACTCACGCCCGTCCATTATCCAGGTGTAGCAGGAAAGTATCATTGCCAAATTCTTCAAAGGTCTCATAGTGATGTCTGTCCATGTTGCCTTTGAATGAGAAACAAATCAATGCCTTAACAAGAGAGATTCTCTGATTTGTGGTTTTTTTATTTTTAATTCTCGTATCTGTGACTCTTCCTTTAACTAGAGGTCGGACCTGTAAGCCTTTTAAGCTGCAAACAAACTCACTACAGGGTTGACATTAAAACAAAGAGACTGACTCATGAGGAAGTCCAGTATGGCCATATCTATGAGATCCACCAGTCTGGTGCCGTGGCTGTAAGGAGGTGTCTTTTTCACCGTGTCACAGTATGCAGCGTCCTTCTCCCACCTGGACACAACAGAAGTAGAGCAGAGTCACATTAACCTAAGCTCCTGCAAATATGCATGCTAAAAAAAATAAAATGCACAACTAACATGTTGGAAAATAGTCTTCTAATTGTCCAACAGCCTTCTAATTGCACGCTTCTTAATACACAAACGATAAAGTCTCTATGTTGTCATCAATATTTTTGCACTGACAAAAAATATTTTGTGCTGCAGTTCTCCCTCCACACCTCTGGAGGTCACTAATGACTCAAAAAACACAGCAGTAATGCAATGCAATAAAAAAAGCACTCATTTGATCTTGAAAATCACTCATTTTTCATCACTAATACATATAATTTGAAAATTAGTAATGACAATCAAAAGACACTGCACTGATAGTTTACCTACTTTGCTAGCTTTTTGTGGCTGTAGGCGCGTCTCCATGGTGACCTCCAGGACCTGCGAGGAGCTATGGTGAGGTCAGGTAGCATGGCAGCCAGGGAAACCTCCAGCGCATGGGGCTGGCCGCATACTGGGTGCTCTGATGAACAGTAGTACTCACACTGGCCATAGAAACATATGTTCCCAGCTGGAGGCAGTCAGAGAGATGACAGGTTGAGAGTAGCGGATGGTTAGTTCGTATGACCAGTGAATGTCAATGTGTCAATCAATTGTTTTTTATTTATAGAACACCAAATCATAAGAAAACATATCTCAGAACACTTCACATATATAGAATAGACCTAGACTGTAAATACTCATCAGTATTGTTGGTTTGTTTAAGATCCCCATTACAGTAACTACTCTTCCTGGGTCTCCATATCTTGGCAATATTTCATTAGTTAGAATACATAAAAACACATCCATAACATTCATACTCACAGTACAACAAAACACATGACATAACCAATACAACAAACTCAAAAACTGTCTTAACACAGACAGAAGCTCTACATAAATATTTTTCACTTAAATAGTTGTGAACAGAAAAAGGAAAGTACATGGAAACTAAATCACAAGAAAAAATTGGATAGATAGCTTGAAATTGATTTAATATATTGAAGAACGTCAAAAATAACCTTATTGTGTTCTATACTTTAAAGAGCAGCTATCATAGTTATGAACAAACTGAAATTGATCTGATGAAACCAGCTTAATACAGTTCTTAAAATGCCAACTACAACGTCTGGTCTCTGTAACGGGATGCAGTGGTCAATTCAGCACTAAGATACAACTGGACGAGCATTCAGAGAGAGTCCTTCACAAGGAAGATCACATGACATTTTCTGGAAGACATCAATGTATGGTGATTAACTT